TACAAACAGGATGCGTTACACGTCCGAAACGAGGACATTTATAATTATTCAATGTCAGAGGCGAAAATACTTTAAAAAATAACACGCGTACTTTAAATATTTACTCAGTAACAAGACTTTTATCTAAATGCTATAGTAAGAATGCTGTTTTTCTATTATTATCATACAGATTCGTCCCTTTATCTGCAAGTTATAACGGGAATCACCCAAAAGCATCCCTTTCATCTTGTGAGAAAGTTTTGCATTGGATCAATCGTTCAGCAAAAAAGACGATTAAGGGATTGTGAATAAATTAAAGATAGATGCCCCTATTCACAAAATAACCTAGATACATAATAGACGCATAGGAGAGGTCAGATGTCACAATGAATTTAGACCTTTCACCCTCCTGTCTGGATAGGTTCCTTTCGAACTTTCCATACATCCGTCCGGACCCGTCTTATGAATTGTATAATTTAACCGTGCCGTCTTTTCAGCCATTCTGCTTTTGTTCGAAGAGCAGACAAACCCGTTGCCACGGCATAAAGAAATAAAAAAATTAATGGATGTCCGAACAATGGGGAGAAATTGTGATAGGTGAGAGTAATCTTTTACGACCAGTGACAATTCTTGTTCTTTTATTTTCCACTAAGAAACCCCAATTGTTGAGGTTAAATAGGGTCAGTCCTATGGGACGATCCAATTCCAATTTTAAATTGTAAATTTTGTTTGGCGCAATTACACGTAATTTTACTCACATTTTATTCTAAAGAAGATTGCCAAATGAGTGTGATCAAAAAATCAGGGATTAAATTAGAAATTATGTTTTTATAAGTGAAACTTTTAGGCAGTGTTTTTAGTTTACTGTTAGTGTAAAGTTTTAAATTGTTGTGTTGTTTACAACCCTGTGACACGGTGTTTTGGTCAAGGACAGGAAAGATATATTCGTCTTCATTTAGGTAAGTTTTCTAGTGAAAATATCGTTAGTTGTTTTTTTTTTTTGTAAACACCGTATATTGAACACTAGAGACGAAGTTTGCCGTGTTGTGGCGTCACTTTGCCCAGTATTTGTAAACAAACCAGTGGCAAGCTGTCTGGATAATCTTGTCGTTCTTTGGTGGCAGACAGTCTGTCTTACTAAGATTGCTGTTTGATGTCTTAGTTAACTGACTCTTTCTTTCAAAACAAAAGAGTTCTCCTTCTTCTTCGTCGTCATTCATAGTCAGTAGCTTGCATCTCATTAGATAGGTATGTTGATACTCATCTCGTCTAGCATAGTCACCGTTTTTGTGCTTTGTTGGAGTGGATCATTGAGTGTTTTTATGTAGAAGAGAACTTAAAGGTGACTCTGGCAAATTTTTTTCATTCGTGAGTTCCGAGATTGATATTTTGTTCTACTTGCCACAATCTTAGAAATGAAAAAGCAGTATTTTTTGCACATGGATCCCTTGTGAAGAGTCGAGTCGGACATAGATATCTATATGTAAATTTGTGCATGCCACTTGAGTATGCTCGGGGAATTTCTTTAAGGAATTCACAAATTACGTCGGCTGCACCTGTTGATCTGTAGTTTGCTTCATTTCTCCGTACGTATGTCAATGAGCTCTAAATTTAGGAGTGACTTTGTTTTAAAACGATTAAGATAATTGGGTACACGTTATGAAGTTGTTTAGTTACTCAGGTCCCAAACAGGTTGCATTATTTTATAATATATGTATATTGTGTAAGTATTTCGTAATTTCGTTAAGAAAAATGGATGATCCTGAATCCTAATAATCCATAGTTTTACAAAGGAAAAGTGAAATTGTTTATTACGTTTTCACGCCTAAATCGTTGTCACGTTTGTATGATTTCAAGATTTTTCACCTAGTCTGAATTACATAATTTATAAATCATTATTTTTAATACACGTATGGTTTCATGAACAACTTTTTCTTGTTACTATAAAGAAAATCAGAAAAGCATTCAAAGTAGCCGCGCAAAAATGTGTAGGTATTTATATCTTGATTTTTTCTTGAAGTTCAATAAGTGAACAGAATCTAACCTAAGTATATTAAAAAATGTTTTGTACCTAGTATCCAAAAACTACGCTGAAATAATACAATAGGAAGATGGAGTTGCGCATGTTACCCACTAAACTAATATAAATCAGTGTATTTTTTTTTATATTCGTTAGCACACAACCAGGGTGTACTTGAAGCCTCTTTCATTAATTAGGTTAAATGATAATTAATAATGTCAATTGGCATTCCCTTCGGAAATGAAGAACTAAGGTGGTGGTGAGCGATTTAAAAACACAGGATCGCTAGAAATTTCGTGGTCAACCAATATCAGTAAGAATAGATCAACTCTACCACTTTTCGCGAACAGAAGGAAGTACGCACACCACTACAAATCTACAACTACATGACTTGTTATTCTTGTTAATACGTCACCATTACGTTTGATTGGCAACACGCTAAAACGAACGCCCCCAGTTAATGATCCACATATTCAAGAGGCCGGTCTTCGACGCACTATGTAAACGTTAGAAAATTAGAAATGAGGAACTCTATATTGATTCACGATAGTGCATGTGTGCGTGGTACAGTGTTATTATTCGAATTATGTAACTTTCACGAAATCCATGGCAGCAACGTGAACTTGGCTGCATGCTGTTGCTGCAGTGATGCTGCACTGAAGTAAAATCAAGACTTCAGCATGCTAAACGTGTCTGGGATTTTTTATGTATTATATCAAATACGAAGGGAATTATTACATCTATATGAATCGTACAACAGTAAGTATTGACTATAAAAAATATAGGTAGCCGCATATAAAAAAAAAAAACGTTAAGTAGGTACTTTATTCAAAAAGCCCGCTAAATCAGACAACATAGCCCACTCTATAATAGCCACATCTGTGACACCAGCTCAGCTCATACCATGGCCAGACGTGTCTATAGTAAGAAAAAAAAAACAGTTCGTGTTCTATTGAATATGCGACGCGCCGCGCATTTTGCAAAGGTCGAAAACCTCCGCGACAATAGACAAGAATCTTTACGATTGAGTCGCGTATTGCCGCTAATGCTTAATTAATATTTTATAAGAAACTTGTTAAAAAGTATTACAAGGTAGGTACCAAGAGGCCTACAAACTATAAGGTGTCTTCCTACCCACCTACAAAAACACAACAAAAAATATTTATTTGCGACGCGTCGCGGCGATGATTACTCGTGCCGGCCGCGAAGACGCCCTTGAATTAACAAAAAAATAAACAAATAGCAATGACCTCGGCACACATGATAGACACGATTACTTACACTATTATTCAAACTAAGTCAGGTCAGATTAGGGCGGCTATTATAATTCATAGTACTCGTTTTGTGAACACGTTATTACAAAATAGAACTAGAATCACCGGCTAGTATAATTTGATAAGATGACGTCATCGTCGTCTGGGCCCCCAATTTGACGTCAGCTAGTACAGTGACCCACAAATCTACAGACACAATAAATTCAGCAACGTACGATGCGAAACCGCGCGAGGGTCAATGAACTGTTGACGTATTTAAAATACGCACAAGTAGGTACCTTATCGCGAAATGTAGTACGCGGCGCGGCAAGCGGAGCGAGCTTGCTGTGCTATGTGTTTGCAAAATGGTTATTTATAGATGTGAGTGTCCATGACGGATGGTTCGTGCTATTTCTAAGGTCCCGAGAAATGGTGAGTTATATTTCATGATGTAAGTTTAGTAAAAAATCCCATCAATGAAAATGAAACACAATTTTTACTTACAAGAAGGAGTTTCATTATTTTAAAGATGATCCAAAAAGTTTTTCATCAAACTTTGAACGAAAAATTTCATTATAACTGGTCGACATAAATTATTGTAGAAATATAATAAAAAAAGAATAAAACAACCACAAATCAAATTTTTATTGTTGTCAACTAGAAATAGTGATGTTCTCGACGTAATCGTAATGTATCGGTTTTTAGTTGTAAGTTTAAAAGTTCAAAGGCTTTTCTACATATTAATTAAAATAATCACACGAACGAAATCTTTTCTCAAGACTAGTCAACACCGGAAACCTGGTGAGAGTTCGTTTAGCCGCTATACTTTTATCGCTATTGATATTAAGAAAATGTGAGAAAGGAAGTGTGTCTGTCGTGGTGCTACAAGACACACTACACCCGAGTTCTTTCTTTGTAAAGAAAGGAAGAGTCGGGATCAATGGCTTGCGCTATTTTCGACTTCATGTTGGTTGGTGTTAAGATTCATATTGGCAGTGAAAGGGCCGCATTGGAGCCTTGTCCGTACAAAACGAGACACCCGCAGTAGCTGCCCTACCTACCTACCCACATAACGCGACGGATACAGATCCGAGTTTCTTACTTACACATACAAGTGAAGTACGAAGGCCAGTTTTAAATATGTGTATGTGTCGCGAATACATACGGCTTCGATGATCAGCAGGTGTAAGCGAACTAAAGGCGAGGGGTTATTGCGATTAACTCTTTTATCCCTTCGTTTCCATATCAAAGAGTAATGAACCTTGTTCTACTATTGGACAACGTCGATTAGTAACCGTGTGATTTTTTATTGAATGAAAAGCTACATTATTCAAGCAATACTTTATTCAAGATATAGAAACCCACTTATTACGGATGTTTTATATTTATTTATCTTAATAGAATGTTATTAGAACTTACATTGTTGGAATCTACTTCCTTTTATACTAATAAGAAATAAGTTTTGTCAATAAGTATTGCTACCTACTTAATTCTACTATTTATCTACTATTAAAAGTCGTTCTTGTTGATATATTCTAACTAGATTTTATTTTGAATAGTAGTAATAATTTTGTTTTGATTTGTATTTAAAGTTTGAAAATGTGTATTATCAACGTAGGTATTAAGAGACAAAACCTAAGTATTTAACTAATTGTAGCAACAAAGGCGAAACTGGCAGTGAATCGATTGCGAGTAACGAAGGTCAAAGGGTTTGCAAGTGTGCGTATGTATGCAAGTATGCAGGCGAGCTCGGTGCGGCGTCGCTGCTGCACGCCTGCACCGGTGGTTGCAACACCCTCCCCCCTTCATTCTCGGCTTCTCGCTCGTCGCCGTCTTGCCGCTAGCCTGTCTCACCTCGCGGCCGGCAGCCTTGCGCGACGCGCCGCGCTCTTTCACATTCAAAATTATTCGCAATCGCAACCATTGCAAAAACTCTCTGTGCAATAAAATACTTAATATTTCGATGCGTTCATAATTAGTCTAAAAACAGAGAGGTAGTTTAAAGTTAACAAAGAAATTAAGTGCCTTTTAAACTTTGAATGCACTCCTCGTTGCATGTCCCGCGCGCGTCGTTATGAGAACCCCGTACTGGCGGTCACGTTGACGTCGCGCCGCCATATCTGTCTCGGCCACCAACTAGCAAAATTAATAGGTAATTATTTCGTGTACAGTGTTTTTGATTGATTTTGTCGTTCAGTGATTGTGTATTAAAGTGTTTTCAATCTTCTGGCATCCGTTGTGGTGATTCCAATTGGATTCTTTTTGGGAATTGAGGCGCGCGCCGGCCGGTTCTTATCGGGTGCAATGCAGTTGCACTCTCAACTTATTGCAGTTTTGCATTCGCCAAAGTTTCTTGCGCGGAAAGTTTCTAGTGTTTATATCTTGCTCGAAGAGGATTGTAATTGTGTTTTAAAGTGATTATTCGTTAAAAGTGATATGTGAAGCGGTTTCTAAAGAGCTGTCACAGTTTGCTGTGTTATTTCGGTCATTGACCGCCGGAATTCGCATCTCCTTTATATTAGTGGTGTTGTTAGATTTTTTGACATAATTCCGATTTTCGTTTTTTAGGCTCAAAAATTGTGTCACTTCACTAGAAGAATGCAATGACACGCGCATTCGCTTTTTGAAATTTCACCTTCACCCGGATGGAATGAGGAGTGCACAATCCCATTGTTTCACAGTTTCATATGTTTGAACATCATTTGTTTTTTTGTTTTTCGGACGATTAGAGAGTTATCATTTTCTTCCAAAATTACAAAAATTACAAAATAAAGGTAAATATTATAATTTTCCTCCGTATTATATAAATTTAAAATATATTATTTTTACAAATTATTTGAAGGCATTGCTCAAACGCGTGGCTTCCTTGAATTGCTGTTCAATGACATCATCTGTAGTCAAGCCACGAGAGATCCCAATTCTTAGTGAATTAAACCATACTAAACTTTATTGTAAAGTTACATGAAACCCTCCTATGCTGCCACGATTGAGTGTAGTGTGTGTAAAATGATAATAAATGTGCAGAATGGCGGAGGGCAATGGAGAAATACCCATTGAAGAGGTACCTGGGAAGGACTCCGATGTTGGCCGGACACCAGATTACCGCAAACTCATTGACTATGGCTTGGATCCTAAGGTAAGGATTCATTTCTAGTAGTTTCTAGTTAATATGCTTAATTTAGGGTAGTGGCTTGAAACATTTCAAAAGTCCTTACAAATCACTGACTTGCCGTTACAGAGCCTTGCAAACTAAATTTGCAAAAATCTTGTTTGACGATATGGCTCTTAGGTTTGCTTCATTTTATGAAATTTGTTGGTGTATTTTGTATGTATGAAATGGTATCTTGTGGATATAGGTAATGTATGATTATATATTGTATATGTAAAAACAGAAGTAAGGTTCCTGAAACTCTGCCCGGCTCTTCGGTGAACCTCACATTTCAGCTGATAAGTAACTGACTGAAGGCAATTTTAGTGAATCTTAATTTTATTATTCACTAAAACCTTGTTACTTCTGCTGCTTTTCATGATGAAAAAAATCTTAAATTAAATTTTACTGGAATATGAAATATCAGTATAGGTATAGGTATTTGGTAGCAATGTATTCTTATTGGAATTTAAATGTTCTTATAAGATTTTTGATGTGTGTTGCTAATAATATCACATGGTTGTGTTATGTACTTAGTTTATATATTAAAACATAAATCTGACTCATTACATAAATAGCTGCTTAGTTGAATTTTATAGATAAGCTTTATAGGTGTAGTTTCTAAACTGATAGAATGTTTTAAAGAATTGTATTTCTATTAGAGCTATTTGTGACAATGTCTAGATAAAATTAGATGTGCAGTAAAATCAGCCTAAATTAACAATGCTAACTCATACTCAGTGGCTGTAATAAAATCAAGTTTAAACATCTGTGTAGGTAATAAAACAGGTTTAGTACTCAGTAGGCACTGATTCACACATCTTATCATGGACTAGGTATTAGTTCTTAGAAATCCATGTGGGTATTCCATTCTTAATGTTGTTACACTTGAAAAGTAAATGCCTTAAAGTTATGTTGGTAGCATAAACCTATTTGTACTTTCTCTGTTTGTTTGATAGTGTTGTCTTGACCTCTGCCATTTATTATCTGGGCACCTGCAATGCATAAATACAGGCTTGCATGTTTTTAAAGTTGTTGCCACACAGTGCTATCAATTATAAATATTTTTACTGAATATGAGCTTGTGTGGGACTAAGCCAAGTCTCTAGGTACTTTTTATTTATTGTGTCCTAAATATTTTCTAACTAGAATACATGGTAGTTATTGTGTAGGCAAATTTTTATATGTAGGCAAATTCAATATTATATTTCTTATTAGAAAATTGTTTTTTATTCCAACTGAATTCCAATCAGATTCCAAAAATGGTATGTCAACTGATGCCTATCCATACATGTAGCTACAATCCCATGTAAAAAATTGAGTATGAATTTATTATTCGTAAGTCCTTTATACATAAAGTGAGTACATTTGGTGGCATGAGTAAATGTTGTGGGCAGTAGACGTCGAGAGGGTCGAGGACGGCGCGGGGGGCGGCGCTGAGTAATTTTCCTCGTCACTGTCCTTTGCAACTTAAAGTATTAAATTATCCTTTTATTTCGAAGAAATACTTGCACAGACCCGCCCATAGATGGCATGAGTGTGTAACATAGTAACACTTCATTCTCTTATCTACACACATAAAATTATTTACTTGCGTGAATTGCGATGGTCAGTGTACTGCTACATTATCAAGGAGGATAGCTAAGTGATACGATATCGTTTATGATATAATAGTCCACATTCACTCTTGTGATACCTAATCAAAAATTGCATTCTCGAGTTTTAAAATACTTCATTCGGCACGTAGGCGATAACGTTACCCATCAAATACATAAAAAGTAGCTCGTTCGATAATCTCTGATAGCATGTATGGAATCTTGAAACTGTATTTTAATGCAGGATGTAGCTAATGTTATAGTTTGTTATATTAGAGTTATAGCAGGGCACTGAATTGGTGTTGCGTACGCGACTCTGGCTTAACTTAGAATGGAATAGACAATAACAATTTACCAACTCACCGTTGAATAGCCACCGTGCGAAACTCGCATGCTGTGATTTTTATATCGGTAGAAATTGTATTTAATGGAGAACATAATGTCATTTCCAGGTAGCAGCCAAGCTCGACGACATTTATAAGACTGGAAAGCTAGCGCACGCCGAACTGGATGAACGTGCGTTAGATGCCTTAAAAGAATTTCCATCCGACGGTGCTTTAAGTGTTCTTGGACAATTTTTAGATTCAAATCTCGAGCATGTATCTAATAAAAGTGCTTATTTATGTGGAGTCATGAAGACCTATAGGTGAGTACCCATGTTTTATTATTTCGCTTGGCAACACGACCATAATATTGGATGATTGCCAAACTGCCCGGTATATCTAGGTCACAATCTTGGAAAATTGATTTGACATATTATAGGCCGCGTTATGGGACAACCGTTGAATTTAAACCGCGCGGCCCTCTGCCTGAGTAACTAGGAAACGATGCTGTGTTATATACTGAACGACCTTGTCTCGGAATGGCAATGTGAAAATCGACGCAGAATTTAAAAATACCTTTTTGCACAGCATCAAGCCTTGACAAAGCCAATCACCGGCTAGGAAGTTTCCGACCAATCAAAATTATTGTTTCTGCAGTCTACCGAATTAAATATGTCGTGCCGAAGTGTCGACCTTTGAGAGAAGAGGTCACTTCGATACCGACCATTAAAATGCAATAAAACTGATTGTCGTGTCTGAAATGCCCTCATAGTGACATTAGGCGGCGGTGCTGTTCCGCAAGTTTAGCACTTTTCGGCAGCAAAGTTGTACCTCTAGTAACTCTTGACTTGGGTAATAGTTATGTTAAGTGATAAATTGTTTGCTATTTGGATTAAGCTTTATGAATGTATGGATTCCGTTACGACCATACAGGATTATAATGTTAAGTCTGAGAGTAAAAATCTTTATATCCTTAAAATAAATCGGATGTTTGTGGTGGACAACACAGGGAATGGTCCTTCAGAGTTACAAGTTGAGACAGTAGATGATGCGAGAAAGTGAAACGTTAATTGATACGCGACACAGTGGCTGTAGCTGGAATGGCCGCTGTGTGACGGACTGACGGATCATTTTGCTTGTGTCCTCGTGTTTATTTGCGCCGCCCGTCGCAAGATTAGATTACGGATGGTCATTAGCCCCTGTGCAGTCGTGATGCAGAACCAGTTTGCGAGATTTAATAAAATGCTAATTGGAATTATCCTTAGTGGCCTTATTGTTAAGTTGGGTATGGAATTGTAGTTTCCAATTTTAATAGACATAATTATCTCGTAAATTGAGTTTGTATCACGAGTGTCGGTTTCAGTACGAGTATTAAGTGCCTCAATTGCGCAGTGACTGTAACATGACTGTTGAACCCTGTCTCGATTGGTTCTTTAGGGTTTATTTGTTCAGTGATTATTTTAGTTGATGTAGCCATCAACAATGGAAGTAATAAGTACAATAAAAATCGGTTCGCATTTGTTTCTAACGTAGCTGGTTAAAATCTAGAACGAACTCTAATGAAGTAACAACGTGATGTACAAATGTGTAGATATGTACTTGTCGCATTTCCAAAAATATTGATGAACGAACTGTTGGTATTCCAGACAGAAAAGCAGAGCGGGGGTCCAAGGAGCGCCCGCGTTGGCTTCAACTGTCCCCGTGAAGGGCCCTGACGAAGAGAAGATCAAACAAATATTAGCCCGGACCGGGTACACGTTAGATGTTACCACAGGTCAGTACACTAGCTAAAAAGAGACAACAGACCTTTGACCATTAGATAATGGAGAAATTAGTTTATAGATAAGAAATATTGCATCTGGAAATAGATGCAATTATTTTGTTGCAATCTCATTTTAAACTATTCAATGAATGTGTAATGAACTAGGTGTTGATAATTCTGTCGTGGAATAATTCACTTGACTTTATTTGAGTTTTACGCCAAGTACACGATCGATTTGTTGCCTACCGTCTATAGATCTTGTTTTTCAACATTTGTACCAAACCGAACAGGCAGCATTCTTCAAAATAAAACAATGTTATGTGATTGTGAATGCAACGTGCGCGAATAATAAAGTTGTCAAGTTGTGTGCAATGCGGCGCGAAGGACGTGTGTGCTTCATTATGTTGTCCCTTTCTATAATTTTATATTTATTTGTCAAGGATATTCTGAAGTATCAAGTATAGAATATAAAACTTAAGAAAATACAAGTAAATGTATGTATAGTATATAATTATATCATCGTTCAGTTTTCTTTTTGTAGCGGGGTTCGGGGAGTGGAGTTACAACTGGGTATTTCGATGACTCCGTCTAAAATTGTGACAACTTGCTCTCAAATCTTCATCTTGGTGCTTATTAGTCGCGCTTGTGATCACTAGACCAAACATAGAATAAGTGGGTAGTTAGACTGTACGAAAATTGTCTCCTTTCTGTAATTTAATGTCGGCGCTTTCTCAAAGTTGAGGAGTGATTTTAAGAATAAAAATAATGTAAAAGCAGTATTTCCAAAATGTTAATACATTTAGAAATTTTTGTTTGGCAATTACTCATTCCCTAATTAGCAAATTGAAGGATATATATAAGTAGCTTCCTGCCAAGGGCTTAAATCAGCCTTTGAAACTGCTTTTTAAATCAGTCCATTAGTTTAGGAGCCTATTTAGTGGAGGCAAGCAATAAAATCTTATTAGATTTAGACCATTTTTACAATAAAGATAATTGGCATCGAATTAGCCAATAGAAAGGTGATGATAACCACTTGTTCTTTACCCCATTTTAAAGAGCGCCTTGTATGAAATTCAGCGTCGATTCTTTTACTAACCAAAGATGATCTAGGTTTAGGTTAGGTTAGTTGTAGGCAGTTAAATAAGAATGAATTTCTAATAAGACTTACGACTTTCTAATAAGACCTAAGTACTATTGGAGTCCATCAGAATTGAATCTATAAAAATATTTTTTTCAAGTCTAACAATTTAGATTTTATTACTTAAGTAAATCGACGAGTCGTTTGCCCTGGATGTGACGTGGTGCCGTTCGCACAGGTCAACGCAAGTATGGTGGGCCGCCGCCCGGGTGGGAGGGCGGTACGCCGGGCGCCGGCTGCGAGGTGTTCTGTGGGAAAATCCCGAAGGACATGTACGAGGACGAACTCATCCCGCTGTTCGAGCGCTGCGGCACCATCTGGGACCTGCGCCTCATGATGGACCCCATGACGGGCACCAACCGCGGCTACGCCTTCGTGACGTTCACGTCGCGCGAGGCCACGCAGCGCGCCGTCCAGGAGGTGAGCCCCATGTCCGCCGCGGCCCCGCGCCGTCTCCTGCCGCACTGTCGTTCGGGGGAGAGGTAGTCCGTACGTGGTAGGCGTAGCTAATGCATGTTACGTGATGTTCTCTATATATTTTTGGTTCGTATCGTTTGGAAACTTTGATTTTACTTTATTTAGTCGATGTTGCTCCTGCTTTGACTATTGGAACCGACATACCTGAAATCAAAATTGTGCTGAATCTACTATGAAAGCAAATTACCACTCCCTCGAACTTTAGTGTACAATAAGCCGTAGAGTTGTTGAACAAACATTTGGTACAAAGGTTGGTGCCATCTGTGGGCGCAGAGCGCGTCCTTGGCGGTTTGCAAATATTTTGATAACCAGCGGCCTGCGCCGATAGTGCGGCACCTATCTTTGTGCGATACATGGATGTTATCGAGCACATCTGTACCAATAGCCAACATTACAGCACACTGTGTTATCGCAAAACTAAAACAATGGTGCAATTGTTCATTATCAGCATATCACGATTGGTAACACAAAATTGTGTCAAAACTCTAAAGCTTTTCTGAGGATTTTTTATATTGATTAAAATTGGTGTTATTAATTTGAAACAAAATTTATTCTAATTTGACGTCTACTTTCCAGGTGACTCGCCGAAATGTTTAAGTATATTCCCTTGACAGATTAACAGTATCACAGCACTTAGCGGCCGCGCGTTTGGCCACTTGCCCTGCGCGCGCCTCCTGGCGGAACCATCACGTTCCTTCTGCGCCACTGTCCTCTGCACGAGCAGACTTAGCTTGCCTTGTCCGTAGTCTGTAGTCCGCAGCGTCTTGATGGTTTCTCCGAGCGCAGGGGAAGTGACCAAACCGCGGCGTCACTTGCAAGACTACTAGTACTCATCAGCCAGTATTTTTGCAAGTTCCCAATCATTTGCCTGTCGAATATGTTCACAGTCACACTTGGGAGACTTAGATTTAAGCTTCTTCTATCATTTAAAAAGCATGTCATTAATATCCCGCTCACGGCGGCCATTTGCACTCATTCGCACTAAATGATTCCCTTTTGTATCTGCTCACAGTAACAATATAAATTGATGATGTTGATCGCTTCGTGGCAAGCAGCCGCCGTCCAATTAATATATATATAATCACTGAATTTGTGTAAATGTGCAAACATAACACCTATAAACTGATCTAGCCTCGCTTGTCCTGAGATATCATCCCGTTCTTTACTGTTGCACCTCGTTCAATTTTAAGTTGCTTTAATTTTATTTTATTTTTGTTACCATGACACGTACTCGCTTCTTTTTATTTTCACTTCATCAAACGGTCCACTTACAGGGTTAACTTTGAATTGGCTTCAAAAAGTTCTCCAACTGAGAATTGAATATATCTCAGGCTCTCCTCTTTGCTCCGTACAACACTGTCGGCTTATCATCCAAATTCAGTTAACTCATTACGATTGGCTCTAACCGTCATCATCGCTCGCGCGTCGCTCGTCGCGCGTCGACGAGGCAAGCCTCGCAGGCCAACGGCCCCAAGGGTCCGAATCGACGCCCTTTTTCAAAATTTTTCCCTTGTTATTTTTCCCACAGCTCGATAATCACGAAATAAAACCTGGGAAGACTCTGAGAATTAAGATTAGCGTACCGAATCTGCGACTTTTCGTCGGCAACATTCCCAAGTCTAAAGGCAAAGAGGAGATACTGGAAGAGTTTGGTAAATTAACAGGTAAAGTGTCACTCGAATGAATTAAGGAGTTTATAGAGTTGTCGGGTTGAGTGCGTGGGGCTTGGTGTGGACCGGCTCGGGCTCCCGCTTGCGTCCCGCTTGTCCCTGTCCTGCGCTCCCTCCCGCGATCTCCAGTCATACGGCCGCCAGCCGGGCTGGCCGCCGCCCAGCGACCCGGCCCCGGCCCAGGCTATTCTCCCTCGAATTGTTCTTGCAGCTGAATGATTATGAAATTCGAAAGGGGAAAAAGATTGGCGTAACAGTTTCCTTTAACAATCACCGGTTATTCGTGGGGAATATCCCTAAGAATCGAGATCGGGACGATTTGTTTGAGGAGTTTACTAGGCACGCACGTAAGTCCTTGTCGAATTCATAATAAGTGCTACTCGGTTGATAAGTTGCGAGCCGCGGAGCACCGCGCCGCGCGCGGCCCGGGCCGCGACCTGGCCGCGACCTGGCCGCGGGGCCCGGCCTCCCGAGGCCCCGACACGCGCGGCGCCGTGGCCCGCGGCCTGCCGACCGTACCTTTGATTGGCCTTTGCCTCGAGAATGCTCACTGGTCATGACTGGAGAACCTTGCTGTTGTTCTCTAGAATAGAATTCTTCAGTACCGTATATGTTCTCCTGGAATATCGTTTGATTTGCTTCATATTCTGTAGCGTTGAATGACTGACTTTTGCGCGTCGGGCTCGAGGGAAGCTTTGTTCATACCGTTAGCGTGCCTGCGCCCCGCTTCAAGGCCCTTATCCATATTTTATGATTGCAGCTGGGCTCGTCGAAGTTATAATATATAGTTCGCCCGATGACAAGAAGAAAAATAGAGGATTTTGTTTTTTGGAATACGAGTCTCACAAAGCAGCGTCACTAGCTAAACGTAGGCTTGGAACTGGTAGATTAAAGGTAAATGTTAATTCTGCCTCATGACGCGATATTATATTGTCGGTGGGTCCAGAGCTGAGTGTTAGTGTAATGTAATGTTTGTTTATAATTCGAGCAGGTATGGGGCTGTGATATAATAGTGGATTGGGCGGACCCTCAAGAGGAACCTGACGAGCAAACTATGAGCAAAGTAAGTTGCCCAATGACTCGTTTAGTAAGTGAATTATGACCTGATTGAGCGCAGATAGATAGTACAGCTGTGTGATGTGTCAGGTGAAGGTGTTGTACGCGCGCAACCTGACGCAAGAGATAACTGAGGACGCGCTGAAAGAAGAGTTCGAGCGCTACGGCACTGTCGAGCGTGTCAAGAAGATTAAGGATTACGCGTTCGTGCATTTTGAGGACCGGGACTGTGCAGTAAAGGTGAGTACTTTTTTTGAGTCGGTAACATGGAGACCAGCTGTTCTATAAACCTTGCTTCTCCGTTTTAAAATGTTGTTGCAGAGTCCTACTTTTATGAGATACTTTAAATTGTTGAATTTCGCAAAATCTATCAAATAATAAACGATACAGTTGATCGGATCTGTTCATCACAATACCCCGTGCTATTTCCAGGCTATGCAAGAGCTAGACGGTAAAGAAATGGGTGGTGCGCGACTGGAAGTGTCGCTAGCCAAGCCGCCGTCCGACAAGAAGAAGAAAGAAGAAATATTGCGCGCGCGCGAACGACGTATGATGCAGATGATCCATGGCCGCGGCGGGTGAGTTCATAGCCTTTTTGTAGCTTTTGAGGAAGCAACAAACAAACAATGTTAACTCATTTTGTGCCATAGAGAAGAATAAGATTACGAAAGTTTCGCTAAATAAAATGATTGATTCTCTCTTGTCAAAATGATTTTACTTGAGATTGTTTCTCGATTCCTCTTCTTAAACTATTCTTTTTTGTATTATCCCCGACGTACATTTTCTAAGATACATCTCAGCTTAATATTTTAACTTTACAAATTTGTTTCCGTAACTTGATTACTTAATTGAAATTACAAAGAAGTTAATCTTACTTTATGCCTCAGTAAACCATCAAACAGGGTGGTCGAAACTTGTATCTGCACGAGTGATTCCATCAAGTAAAAAGCAATAATAGAAATTGACAAATGAAAAACAAAGCCCAAACATCAACATCTATATCTATTCGATTTTAGATTTCCTTAAATTTTTACAGATATATTCTAATGTAAAATAAATATTAAATAAATAAATCTATCGAGCATAATAGCTATTACGAATATTATGTCTCATAACATTAGTTGTGTGACGAATGAATTTGTTAAAATGTTTGAATGGTAATACATGTTGATGGTAGCACGCTTCACACACAGATGATGCTAAAACTCGTAGCGTATCTCTTACGATATTTTTTTTTGTTAATTAAATACTTAAAATTCATATTCAACAGTCCTTTGCTGATTACTGATGACTACAAAAGGGTAGCAAAAAGATAAGTTTGTAACTGTCTTTGTAAAACAGCATAATGCTGTTTTTAAGCGATATTGGCAAAGGATTTAGTGAACAGCAACAGCTAAACAGGCGGCGAGATGGGGAGTGACGTGTGTGTAAGTGTAGCAGGGCTAGGTTTGAGAGTTTACCGAGGCTGGCTAGGGTCGTGCACGATGTATGTAACGTCGGGTGTTAACTGTCAGATTCGATTGGTGCAGCTGCTCGCCGGTACTGCGCGGCCGCACGCCGCAGCCGCAGCCGCGCCCCCCGCAGGCGCGAGGCGACTACGGTCAGTATACACACACACACACACACACACACACCGCCACCACACACCGCCCGGACGCGGACGCTCGGCGCTCTCCTTACAGACCCTAGACTCTTAACTTGTTAAACAATATCTTGCGTAGCATTGCCCTGTACATGAGGAACGTCTCACTCATTAATGAAGGATATCCACCGAGCCTTCGTCGTACCAATAAACAGTACAAAGTGACAGCACACAGAGATAGGCGAAGGGAACTAGTAGACAAGTCAATAGAACGTACCTACAAAATATCGTGAGATAGATCGTATTGTGAGATAGATATAAATAAATGCACAGTCTATCTCCCTCAGCCTAGCTCGTGATCCCTTACACGAACAGAGATGTGAACACGGTGTGGTCTCCACGCGCACACTCGCACAATCCGCTACTGTCCCTTACTAACAAGATGGCCGCTACTATACACTAGTCCGGGACTTCCCCGAGTGTTGCCAGACGAATGATTCATTGCTACCGATAAATATAAAAAATTTGGAAGTTTATAGTGTATCGTTAAGGCCTCATACATGTTTCATTAACGCTACTACCTAGGCTAGTTATTAATGACAGCTAGGAATAGGTTCGATGCATGGTTTCAGACAACTTTCGACCTATCAAAGATAATCGAGGGCTACACATGGTCCATATAGTGTAATAACAATATTAACAGACAGTGCATGCTACAATCTGAAGTCATTGTGAGTGTTCAGGCGTCGGCCTCGCTGGAGCCTGAACACGTAACCACGCTTAGGTAGGTTCTGGTGGTGGGTCGTGACAATCAACATAGCCATTATCTCAATAAAATTTCATAAACAGTTTTATTCATCAGACAATGGACATGAACAGTTAGACATATCACGATGCATGTTGTTCCGTGTGTCGATACCGTGAAGCTGCTTGATCGGTCCGTACCGAGGTGTGACCGCTACGGAGGAGCAGAGGTGTTGGATTTAACCCGTGTGCTGTTCCATACATACCTGTACTGAACCCCGTGTAAAGTGACGACAGCATGTTTACTTGTAATCTTTTCCCGGTACGAGTGTCGTGGAGGCTCGCTATGCGCCAGCCGACATCGGTAGCTTGTAAGTTAGAGTTAGTTTAGCTTAGCCTCTAAAAGGCCTGTGTTGTGTGTTTATAGATTATGATTACGACTATTACGGGTACGGTGATTACCGAGGTGGCTACAATGAGCCATTTTACCGGTACGATGAGTTCTATTTTGATTACGCGGGGCCACCGCAACCGTCCGCCGTCCGCCAGCCTCCCAACAGACCGCAACCGGTGGGTCCCACACACACTCACTAATGTATCACTCTTATTTACTAGTCACTAGTCGCTGTACTCATTATTGTTCTATCGATTTTGATTTGCCAAATTTTTATCATCTACTGTTTTTATTTTTATTTTTGTTTAATCCCATCCTCGAACGGAGTTAGTGACTCGGTAAAGACGGTAGTGTGTAGGCCTGACGGTGGTGATTGCACTGGGCGGGCGGGGCCTCCGACTTGTCACTGATTGCCGGGAAAAGTGTTAGTGGGCGCGGGGTGGCCGTCGGCCGATCTCACCATCAGGTCTATATGGCTGCGGCCACTCCGACTAACATGCCCGTCTCATCTGTACCTGTTGTTTTCAGTTGCCATTTCATACTTGCACCGCTTAATGTCATGCCGCCGCTTGTCACCCCCATGTAGAGCTTTGCTTCGCTTATCACTAACCGATAACACGCTCGAGCTTTGCCACCCGCACACATCCCGTAGGCGAGGAAAGTAGCGTGCCCCGAAGCTTTGGAACGCCCGAGTAATGTTGTAAAATTTCTCGTTGTTGTAACGAGGTAGAGAATATGTTGAGAAGACTTACTGACCCGCTTGGTAAATGCCTCACTCAGGACGACGAGCTCGGTCTCGGGCCCAACTCGCTTTACTACGATCTAACCGGAGGCATTCAGGTACCGCCGATTGGCGCTCACTTTTTTCCAAATTGTATCTTGATGTTAGTGGATGTCAATGTTAGATTTGATTAGACCGTTTCTCCCACTTAGTTTGTTGTAGATGTTATACATTTTTGAGTAAAGTAAAAAGTAGGCAAAGTAATGATGACGATATGCGTTACCCTATCCTAGAATGCGTCACTGTTGGATAATTCAGTGAATTAGAATGCTTCAGTAGGTACCTGATTGTTTCTTTATCTATACGATCTGTTATTGTGTGGCGTTCCATGGTAAAAGTGTTTCTCGTAACAAAGCTTGTGATGTTGGCACTAACCAAGTTTTCTGTGAGCTCACCACAGGTACTTTTATCTCGAAACCCACAATATATGTATTTTGATATGCTGCGCGACTCAAACGTTGTTTAATTGTAGTAAGCTCGGAATATTTAATTTATCACACAGCTATTTAAACGGCGTTTGTAACTTGCGTATTTACATTTATTGACAGTGAATTTATATTTATTATTGGTATTTTGAGATAGATACATTGTATTGCCAATAGCAAAAATACATTACAGCATGATAGTAACTTATTTAAATTATTGTTTCAACTATAACGTAGATATTTATAAACTTTGGTATATATATGTATTTCAATAAAGCTGCATGAAGTTTTATAGTTGAAATGATAGTATTTGATATTTTTTTATTTTTGACCGATATCCTGTATATTAAGTGAACGTGTTTGCAATAAAATCTTGAGCACATTAAAGATCGAAATTAGTAATGATATAAGTGGATTATCCGTAGCATGTCAGTAATAAACTAGCTTGTATATTCGCATATGTAAGTAATTCGTTCTGATGTGCTTATGGTTTTATTTTGGCTTAAATTTAACCAAACTCAAGCATTTTTTGAACAGAAATCGGTCGCTGTATATTTTTTATTTTGCCACCTCAGCATCCACCTCCCTAATATATTCCTGCCGGTCCCCTACGACTAGAAATGGGCTAGCTCTGGGCCTCGCGTCGTAGGGAGCCGGCTGGAGTACAAGGGAGGCGGGTGGTGAGGTCGCGGGTGTGAGCTGGTGGTTGTGCGCAGGCTGGGTCATGTGGGACGGGCGGGCGATGGGCGCGGCGCGCGGCGGCGCCGGCCCCCGCGGCTGGGGCCCGTGGTGGTGCGCGCCGCGTCGCGCGTGGCCGCCGCACGCCCAGCGCCATGCGTGGCAATCCCCGCGCCAAGCCAAGTTTACCAGGTCAGTATGACGCGCACTATACTTACTCCACTAGTAGCACACCTCTACAGCCTCATACGGTCCTTTTCATTCAAATATTTGATGCGGGATCGACGAATGCATTGCGATCTCGTCATATTGGTAAATAACATTCTCTACCATTCTCCACTTCACATAAAACCTTCCTAATTGCAAAATTCAAAATTACTTTGGAAAGAAAATTGGACTCTCTCTCGGTCGACCTCGTTGCCCTTGATTAATATCCTGAAACCTTTTCCTTTTATTTCAGCATGTTTGATGGTTTGCGTGTAAATCTGGATTTCGATACATTCTATATCGGTAACTATCCCTCTCCTATAACGGTCCTTAGTAGTCTTAGGGCTACCACAAACTTGGCCAAATTTGTAGAGCTCGATCGAGTGACGAGTCCATTTTTTTTCTTCTTCTGAAGTTTGTGGAAGACCTCTCATGATTTTCGAAAGCTTCGAAATGTAGACCGGTTCGTGGTCATAAAATTGACTACGGGTCACAAGGTCGAGTTCTTAATACAAAATCCGTAGTGAATTATCTTTATTCATGGTCCTTTCTGCAGCTAGCAGCTAAAGTATGTAGTTGTGATCGATTTCGTGTTGCTCGTGATACGTCACTTAACGAGAAAATTAGCGGAAATTTGATTGCAGTTGTAGTAGTTGAAGGCGTTTTGTATGTTACAGGTAAACGTAAACACGACGGGGGCCACCAGAACGTCGGGGGGGAGTGCAAGCGGCGGGTGGGCGCGGGCGGGTGCGGCGCGGGCGCGGGCTGGGGCGGCGGCGCGCTGGCGCAGCAGCCGCTGGCCAGCTAGCGCGGGGGGCGCGGGGGGCGCGGGGAGCGCGAGGGGCGCGGGTAGGGGCGCGGGGAGCGCGGGCGCGGGCGCCGCGGGCGGCCGGCCCCCGCATGGGAGGCACTACAAGCTGCGCGGGGGATGTACCTGGCCGCTGCGCGCGCGCGCTCGCGGCCCGCGGATACGTTCACGTCCGGTCCTCGCTGCGTGCCGAGAGGATCGCTCTACTTTTTTCTATATATGTGTTTTTTTATTTGATTTTCGAGTTTTCGATTTTGTATCGCATCGATCCGAAAAAATCTTAAAGTAGGACGTTATGAAATGTTTCGATTGTAAGTTTCCCGTTATGCTTATGTTTTTCACTGTCGTATTAGCCGTATATATATTTAATATATACTTTATTTGAGGGGAGCGCACGGCCGCGGTTGCCTGTTTGCGACCGTGCGCTTGGGTCGCGGACCCGTTGACTGTCTGTTTTTTTTTAATACATGTTATTCGATATATTTTATTCCTGTGAACGCATTTTGCGATGTGATGTGTATTTTAGCAGTAATTATTATATTGTAAGGAGTTTGACTGTTGTTTTTTGACATACTTACAACTTAGGATACTTGAATGAATTTAATCGGATTCTTGAATGAATTGAACTCTCCGACGACTAGCGATTACGGCTAAAATAAAACCACCCCCTGTACTCGAACATTTCCCGACTGTGTTCCTGCTTTAGTTTTTTTTGCTTTATTTTTATTACATATTTCCCTTAAAATACATTAGTGTGAGGCAGTAGTATTGTAAAGTTCAGGATTTCTGTAATGTTTATTATTGCTGTACTAAACTTTTTTGTATTCGACCACATAGCATGTCCATACTGTTAGAACTCGACTTGTATCAATCTTGTATCAGTTTAATATGTGGAATAAATTTGCAAAACTGTGTTTGCCTTATTATCTACTTGTTTCCTTTTTCTCTAATGACTCGCCTGTTACACGAAGCTTTTTGTTTAGTGGTTTTCATAAATATTTCCATATCTTAACTTACAAGTGCTGTCGATGTCGACCGTTTTGTTTATTGACAAAACCGAAAATTTTTCCTAAGATAGCGCGGCAACAAACCGAATTATCCACCTGATGGTAAGGAAACCTTTGGTTTCCTAGCAACTACTCAAGGAGTCGCTTATCCTGCTTCATCTTTTTTATACAGTCGGCATCAAATTAGGACGGAGGTACTCAATTTTAAAGAAGCACACAACTACCAAAATATCTTTACATGCAACGTCTCTAAAAGGTTCCAAATCGTCATAAATGTCCGTAGGGATTGAGTACGTTAGGTAGCCACATCAGGTTTTCAAATCTCATCTCACCAACACCAAAGGAGTTAAGTGCGTTGCTGGCCTTTTGGCGATTAGGGTTTCATATATTTAGGGATTGGGGAAGGGCACACATTTATGTAAGTACGTACCTACCTACATAAGGATTGAGGAGCCACATCAGTTTATTAAAAAAAACTGATTTCACCATTATTAAGCAGCAATGTAGCCTAATTCTGGATTTAGCAGCAAAATATATCTCTAGTTATTTTAAAGGCTATATAGGCTTTTGTAAATCTGATCTCACCATTATTTAGCAGTAAAATAGCATATTTTGCAGTACGAATCCTAAATTTAGCAGCAAAATATATCATTCAGAGTTATTTAATGCAAAAGAGGCTCCTCAATCTAAACATCTGAATTGAGGAGCTACCTAGAACTGGTTAAGTAATTGATATTTGTGAAAATTCTGTATGATTTGGTAGCAATTTTCCATATAACCGTCTAAAAATTATGTACGCCAGGATTGAGGAGCTACATCAGTTTATTAAAAACACTGATTTCACCATTATTTAGCAGCAATGTAGCCTAATTCTGGATTTAGCAGCAAAATATATCTCTAGTTATTTTAATGAAAAGGTGGCTCCTCAATCTAAGCATCTGGATTGAGGAGCCATCTGGAACTCGTTAAATAATAGATGGATATTTATGAAAACTTTGTATCATTTAGCAGTAATTTTGCATATTACCGCCTAAAAATTTTATTTCAGTAGCTCTAAAATGTAAGAAAATAAAATACCTTTAATATGGCTCCTCAATCTAAACTCACGACAACCATTTCTATTAGATGTGGGCAAGGGCAAGGCAGGATCAATTAATATGTTCGACATAATGATCATTTAGCAGATGTTGTGTTTGTTTTTGCAGTATAGGAATAAAATACTAAGACAATGTTGTATATTAACGCATTTTCTTTGGCTCCTCAATCCTGACGTTCTAATTATACATGATTGACTGTAGCCACCTGAGATTTCAACGGAATCTAAAGCTAGAGATAAGATTTAACAGAAATGTCTGCTAAACACATCTGCACAGTTCAGCAATCTATATATTTTGGATCCTGATTAAACAATACTTAACTAATTTCATGCAAGTTCAGTGTGTGGAGTGACCTTACGTTTATCTAGATTTAGGACTGGTTAAGTAATTGATATTTATGAAAATTGGTAGCAATTTTCCACATTACTGCCTAAAAATTTTGCTTCTGTAGCGCTTATAAAAGAAAATACAATCATTTTTATATGGCTCGTCAGTCTAAACTCTAGAGGTGCATTTCTGTTCTGATCAATTAATATATTCGACATTATGATGATTTAGCAGGTCTGATTGTTTTTGTAGTAGGTATAGGAATAAAATAGTAAAACATAAAATTTTGTACATTAACACATTTTCTTTGGCTCCTCAATCCTCTGACGTTCTAATTATATGTTTGACTGTAGCCACCTGAGATTTCAACGGAATGTAAAGCCAGAGATACTAACATTTAGCAAAAATGCCTGCTAAATATATCTGCACAGTTCAGTAGTGTATATATTTTAGATTCTGAAAAAAATGTGTGTCTATGTGTAGGGTGACCACATTGTACACAACAAGAATAAGTAATTTGTTTAATTTATATTTTCATAACAGCTAGGGGAAAATCATCAAAAGACTTCTCCGGCACCGGGAGAGGCGAGAGAAAGTGTCAGACTCTCACTAACTAAAAACCCCTGTTCCTTCTCCTGGTCTAGGAGGCCGCAGTGCCTCATTGCGCTTACCCAGCAACCCGTATCTATCGTGCCTACCATTTGCTGGCATCATCATGAGCTCATATTTCTCATCTTATAATGCGTTCCTCTCTCTTAAATTGGATGAAGGATGTTGCCAAGTGGCAGTGTATGTGAGCCGGATGACACAAGGATATCTTTTCTATCACCCGGTTTGGATGGATGAGTTGATATGGGTGGTTTTACTCAGTTCGACTAAGCACATGATTCCAATTTACCGCTGGCACCGGTGAGGTGAAATTCTTGGGAGCCCCAAGCGAAAAAAATGTTTTACTTAGTCTACTTATGTAAGGACTTTAAACGTAGAGCTTTTTTTACCAGTTAACTTTGCGTTCATAGCTGAGCCTTATATCTCATGACATTTATATGATGTAAGTATCTTTTTCGGTGAAAGAACCTGCCTATACTAAATTGATAAATTGGTCTGTCTGAATTGCAAGAGATGCTTAAATTATCATTAATTAATGATTTTGTAGGAACAATAAAACAAAGTTTACGTTAAAGTCGTGTAATCAACTATTTAGTGGTGCGTGCGTCGCCGTTGCGGCGTGGGCGCGTCGTCATACGGTGTCAGGGGGCGCGGGCGGCGCGGCTAGGCGGGCAGCGGGGGCGCGACGCGCAAGAGGCGGAGGGCGCGGGGGCGGGGGCGGCCTGCGCACGCGCGCCGCCCGCGACCTCCGCGCGCGCCGCATCCACCATGCACCCAGTGCCACCGCGCCGCCGCCGCCACCGCACACGGCCCACCACCACGCCAGGCTGCCAGACCCGCCTGTCACTGCGTTCTCGCCGCCTACGAATACGTCACGCCTACAACCTTGTTCGAACCCTGCGGGTCGACTCCCTGACTAATCTCCCGAACTTTGAAAACTGTTGCTGAATCTAAGAATGCTTGAACGCCAACAAATAAAATGGCAAAAGCGAGATCGTATAATTTTGAAAAACATTGACATCTTATTATATTTTCACATCTTAACCTTAACAATTAAGGCGCGTCCTCTAGGTGCGTTCACACGGACACAAGTAAATCAAGATACAATAAAATAAATTCGTTTCGAAAGGAAAGCAAATTATAAGAGCCAAGTAGAATTGTTGCATATTTTATAACAGTTTCGGATAATTATACGACCCGACTTGCACACCGGAACGGACAGGGGGAGTCGACCTTTCGGTCCTTTAGGTGCGTTGTTATTTTAGAAGCTTTGCAATACTCAAAGAGAAATTGTTTTCTTAGATATGTTTAGAACGGTAATATGAAGCTATTTAAACTAGGACAATTTAATCATTATTACAAGAAAACGCTAAAGTACCTATCTTTCAGTTTGAAGATCAGAGTATCTAGGTACCCTTTACTATATGATATCAATGAATATTGCAAAGCTTTGCTTACTTCTTCTTTAAGTCTTTTTTTAAGTTTATTTAGGACTTTTTATTTTTATAGTTTAGGTAGAGAGTTTTACATCATGCATACAAACGAGTTTAGTATAAAATTATTATTATAAAGATAGGGAAGCAGAGAGTGATGTGTGGTGAAGCATCGTGGATGTAATTAATTGCCATTTGAATTATCTAGCTGCTTAAATTAAGCTATACAATTCTATCTACAAACTTACTGTAGGCACTAATCAGATTGTTTCACAATTCAAAGTGATATCATTTTGTCCATATTCTTTTTTTGGGATGCCACAAACGATGGTGGCGCCACCTACGGAACTGAATTCGGTCTTCAACGATAACTAGGTAAATAGAAAAAGGGTTGTATTAAAATATCAAAATGTAAACACCTTGTGTATTTCTTGCATTTTTGTATTTCATTAAGTGCCTACTAATTTTTGTACCGGTGTATTGGTGCTGAAAAAACCAAGGCTGATTTCACTGTGATAGATACACATAGATCACTTAGTGAATTGGGTAGGTGTTTTGAGGCTAGAAGTTTTAAATTGGAAAGGCAATTAAATAATCCATGATCGTTATAGCACATGACAAAGCCAAGGCAGAAGACACTCGATTTTCTACGAAATAAGAGATATAGAGTTCTAGATACAAAACGTGTTTACAAAAGCTGCAAAATAAACAATAATAGCAGGTTCACAATAAGCACATTACCTGAAAACTAATAAATTAATGACGACTTTTTTTAAATTCACTTCCGCACCATCCCTAGGTACTGCGAAGAGCATTTGTTGCGATCTTTTAAATAAAACCAGCGTTGCAGAGAAGAAAACAGACGATAGGTTTGTTTGTGATTATCGTATCAAATTTTGCTATAACCACATATTTGACAGCTATCTGTTTTCTCTCTTTCCGATGCGGCAATGACGGTGGAGACAGAAGGAGTCAGGAGTCAGGAGCTTCGAGGTGAGAGGGTGACGGTGGTAGTATAGACTCACGTGCGCAGCGCCCGGTCAGTGCGGGGCGGCGAGCACAAGCGACAGCGCGACCAGAGCGGCGCGCGCCGCCAACCGCCCCGGCGCCGCGCCGCCTGCGCACACCGCGCCGTCAGACCAGCCCAGGGCCCTACACTCTCTGGTGGAACACGACCGACCCGCTTCTTCTACATTCATACTTCTTCGCGATAAAACAGCGTTGACTACGTCGTCATTTAATTTTAAAATGGACACGATTTGAAACTACTCGTGCAAGTTAGTACTCCACCAGAAAGTGCTGTTAGAAACAGTTGTTGCGGTACCCCGGGCCCCATAGTGCGATGACTCAATGCAAGCTTTGTCCCATTGGAGTGACTTCTTTATCAATTGTAACAAATGATCAAATATACTATCGATTAAAAACATAACAAAAATTTAGACTTAGGACAGATCAGAGATGCAACTCTCCTGAGTCA